TCTGTCTGTCTGTCTGTCTGTCTGTCTGTCTGTCTGTCTGTCTGTCTGTCTGTCTATCTGTCTGTCTGTCTGTCTGTCTATCAATCTATCTATCTATTAGTGCAGTCTGGCCTGATGTACTTTGACTCTGTGTGTATTCTTATACGTATGTATGTAATATATAATGAGTAATGTAAGAAATATTCAATCATTTGGTCAAAGTTATGTGAAACAATAACAATAACGATAACATTCAATAGTAATATTTGAGGAGTCCGCTGAAAAAACGGGCATATTCACAAACTGGAAATTGTGAGGGAGTCAATTTAAAAATCTTGTGGACTCATAACTTCATATATTTGTTTGATTGGTGGTTAATTTTATATCATGTTTGTTGGATGGAATTTCTAACTACAACAATAACCAACCAACAGCTGAACAGAAATACAGTTATGAGTCAATAACAAGTGTTCAAAATTGATACCCTCACGATATTCAGTTTGTGACTATGCCAGTATTTTCAGTGGACTCCTCGTTTACAATCACACCTTTCTGGGAGGAGTGCTTCACTTCCACGTCCATATAGGTCGTCTCATTGTCCAATGAGAGAGGGCGTCTGTCACTGGCCAGCTCGAACCACCAATCAGAACCGTCCTCTGTCTTCTCAGACACGGTGGCCTCCCGTAGAAAGTCGCCCAAAGTCGTGTATACCGTCTCGTTGACAACTCTGTCGCCACAATTGTTCTTTCCAGCTGTTTATTGATTGTCCACGCTTCGCACCCGTATAATAGGATTGGCTTGATGTAACTTTTCAGTACTCTTTTTCCAGCTATTATACCAAAATGAAGGGTTTAATGAAGCATTAGTCTCGTTATATTTGTCAGAATGAAGAGTTTAATTTAACGCCGGTCTAGTTATATAGCCAAAATGAAGAGTTTTATTCAACACTACTCTCGTTATTTAATTAAACACCGGTCTAGTTATAGTAATATGCTTGCAGAACCTCCCCCCTCTTTCAATCCTACACTCCTATTGTCGTTGATTTATCTCAAACGGTGCGCACCAAGAACCAGAAGTCAGTTAGAGCGGACGGTCTAGGATCTTGTACTACAAGTCTAGTCACTGCTCTGGCCCCGATCTGAGACAACAGTTTATCATGAGGTGCTCAGGTTTCCCCCCGAATGCTGGAGGGATTTCTTTCCTGTGTGTCCAACAAGGGGATCAGAAGATGTTCGAAACCGAGGTCCCCCCTCTCCTTGACGGTTTAAAAATAGGTATGAGGGGCTGTACTCAAGGTCGTTGGTAAATATTTATGACTACGGGGGGTGGGTGAGGTGGGGATAG